TCACTACGTCTCTCACTTTCTCTGTGTCTTACTATGTCTCACTCTCACTACGTCTCTCACTTTCTCTCTGTCTTACTATGTCTCACTCTCACTACGTCTCTCACTTTCTCTGTGTCTTACTATGTCTCACTCTCACTACGTCTCTCACTTTCTCTGTGTCTTACTATGTCTCACTCTCACTACGTCTCTCACTTTCTCTCTGTCTTACTATGTCTCACTCTCACTACGTCTCTCACTTTCTCTGTGTCTTACTATGTCTCACTCTCACTACGTCTCTCTCTTTCTCTCTGTCTTACTATGTCTCTCTCTCACTCTTACTGTGTCTCCCACTCTCTTTCTTTCTTTCTCTCTCTCTCTCATTCTCTCTCTATGTCACTATCATTTTCTCTCTCACATCTTTCTCTCTCTTAATAAATATCTCTCATTCTCTCTCTCTTACTATGTCTCTTTCTCTTACTATTTAGCTCTCTTTCTATCTCTTAATGTCTCTCTCTCTTTCTATCTATCTCTTTCTCTTACTACGTCTATCTCTCTTTCTTTCTATCTCTCTCTCATTCTCTTTCTTTCTCTCTCTCTCTCTCTCATTCTCTCTCCTACTATGTCTCTCTTTCTCTCTCTCTCTCAATGCGTCTCCTTTTCTTTCAATCTCTTTCTTGCTAAATCTCTCTCTATCTCTCTCTCTCTCTCTCTCTCTCTCTCTCTTTCTATATCTGAACTCTCTTTCTCTCTCTTAATATGATCTCTAATTCTTTCTCTCCTATTCTCTCTCTCACTACGTCTCTCACTTTCTCCATCTCTTGTTATCCCTCTTAATGTGTCTCTCTTTCTCTTACGCATTCTCTCTCTCTCTCTCTGTCTTTTCCCCAAGTCTCACCAGCTAAGTCTGTCTCTATGTTTCTCTCTTTCCAAATCGTTCTCAATCACTCTCTCATTCTCTCCCTCATTAAATAATGCATCCTCTTTTCAAGCTTCTCTCAGTGTTACTCCAAATCTCTTCCAGTCTCTCTCCAAGTAGGTACATCTGCGAGTATTTTTATCCGTGTCTCTCCCCTAATCTTTCTGTCTCTCGCTAATCACCACTGTTTCTCTCATCTCTCTTACTAATAACGTCACATTGGAGAGGGCGTCAGTGGGTCGTCGAGCGCAAGCTCTTAATACCCCCCCACCCCGGTACACCTCCACACGTGCCAGATGCCGGGTCTCCACACGTGCCAGATGCGGAAGCACGTCGGGAACCTCCCACCTGGCCTGGGGGACGTCCAGTCGACTGAAAACGCTACGTTTAAAGCGTTCGTGGTCCATTCTCCGTGGGTCAGAATGGCTTTGCTTCCATTCCGGGGGAAAGGTGTTTCGTGAACACCACCCCACCGTCCAGGGTGACAAGTGTGTTAAGAAGTATTTTGGTGTCTCTTTAACAGTCTCTATATCTCAGTATGTCTCTTTGACAGTCTCTATATCTCTGTCCTGCTTATCGGTATTTCAGTCACCGTATCTTTAAGTATCGCTTGATCCATCCTTTCCCAAATCTCATTTGCTCTGTTTCAGAACTACTCTACTCCACTCTCTCTAAGAATCTCCATCTCAGCTTATCTCTATTATTGTTCACACTCATTGCATTTTTTAAATTCTTTATATTAATTTCGCTTTTATTCGTGGCTGGCAGGCAAAAATCTTCGGAGGCTAACTAACCCACTTCCCGACAAGCTATCAAACTGAAACTTGGCACAAAGACTTGTTGTCGATGACAACATATTCTAACAAATTTTCAGCCTCACAGCCCAACCCCACCCCAACCCCAAAAATAATCAGTTTATTTTTTCTATTTTTCAAGGGAAACATTAAGGAAAATTCCAGATAACTGAGCTAACTGATATTTTTTAATTATCGCAAGTGTGTTTAAAGCGTAATATTTTATTTATTTTTTTTGAACTAGTTGATGAAATAAATCTGCGGTGTAAAAGCGGATGGGGCATTAGTAAAGTTCAGGGGCGTGAAAAAAAAGTGCAGTTGTGAGCAAGGGGAGGGGGGCGCACTACCTGAGATTCTTTCAAAAAAGTGTGCTGCAAAGTCGTAGCTAAGAGGGGCAGATGCCCCTGGGCGCCAGACTAGTTAGGGGCGCAAAATGTGCTTTAATAATATTTTATTGATCAAAATAATGAGTTGGAAGAAAGAAAGTGCGGCTCGATAAAATGAAATTTGTCCCCGGGGGCCAAACGCTCTAGCTAGGTCTACGCCTCTGGTCTCTGGTCACGACCCACTAGAACTGTACTAAGAGTGGGTCATGCTCTGGTCTCTGGTCACGACCCACTAGAACTGTACTAATAGTGGGTCATGCTCTGGTCCTGTTGCTTGTAGCCATTTTTGGGTCACATTTTCAGCCCCACCTCCCATTACACGATAAAAAAAATGTTACGATAAATTCTGGTTTTAGTGGTTGTTTAATTAATTATTTTTTAATCTTAACCACATTAAGCATAACATTTTTTGTATACGAAAATACAGCTAGGCACCATACACGAAATTAACTCAGGGCGGTACTTTAAAAAAAAATTACAAGCCGTTCGTTAAGAAATGTTTCTTATTTTTTGTAGGAGATGCAAAAAAAATGGTTTTGCTAACATTCGATTATAATGGATTTAAACCTTGTTAAATTGTTTAAAATATTAAAATCTACTGTGGCTACTTTACTAAGACGACTTCTGAAAATGGAGTCGTTACATTCCGGGGTAAAGATTTATAAAAAACGAAAAAGGAAAAAAAACTGAAATGAACTCAAGAAGAGTGGCTTCAGTTCATGTCCAAACATGAAAACCGTTTGCTTTTGTTTACGTTCTTTTTTTAGGTACTATGTAATATGAAATTAGGCTGTTCAGTTAGTTGTGAGGACACATGGCCCACCGTATCTTAAATCATTATATGGTAAGTAAGTAGACTTTAGAGTTAGACAGACAGTTGTCAGTTGATAATTTAATAAATTTTGAAATGAATAGTTGAGTTGTTGTTTTTTTATTGCTATTTATTTAATAATATAATATATGCAGTATCTGCTATACTTATACTATTACTATTATACTATTTAGTATCTAACTTGCCCTATGCGCAAGACATGACTTACTTAATTATATAATACTCGGGCTTACCCGGGTGCAGTTGTTTTTTTTACACCATTTACCAGACTGAGTTCTGTTATTTTGAGAAATGTACCAGGTGGGTACCAGGTACAGGGAAAAAAAAGTTAACTTCTCATTTCCTAATATTATATGAGCCTACCTTTACTTTAAACAATAGTGCCACAGTCACTCCTACACCCTAACTGCCGGCCTTTAAACAATAGCCTACCAACAGTCACACATCCTACATGCCTGCTTTAAACAGTAGTCCTACAGTCAGTCCTACGCCTACACCATACGCATGTTGCGGCTCTTTATTAATGGCTGAGGCTATTCATATTCGGACCCGGTATCAGAATAAACTACCAAAAATGACATCCAAATAGCATTTAGTCTAAAGGGACCCGGGTCCCAATAGTGGCGATGCATGTCCGGATCCATTTTGACTAATAAATGCTTTTCGGATGTCATTTGTGGTAGTTTATTTTAGTTAAACTTAAACTGAAAAATATGGTTTACAAACATATAGTCCGTTCAATTATCTCTCTTTCGTTCAATTATCTCACATTTGATACCAAATTTAATCTTACAAACCCAACAATAATATGTTAAACATTTTTTTTAGTCCCAACCTCTCACTTCTGGTAGCAGCGTCCAAATAGCCACTTTGTTGATAAATACATAAAAAGAATGGGTGCCTTCACAGTTCACTTCACCCTAAAAAATAAAAAATCAACCTTTTTACCTGAGTTCAACTGTCATGCATGACAGCTTTTTTTTCTCTCACTCTGTACTATTGATATAAATCTTGTTGAATGGGGGCAAGGGCCACTTTTGAAAGGGAAGCAGGACACAGACACAAAATATATATGTTTTAAGAGATATTAATATAATAGCCTATGACTATGGTAAATAATATGTAATGATGTCTTTGTTATATGATATACTAGTACAATTTGCACCTTATTTGATATCTTTTGTTTACAGTTTATGGAAACTTTTATTTTTCAGCTTTGACAAATAACTGTACTACTACTTGGGCAAAAGTTTAAAGTTAATATCATCAGGAGAGTAGCATACATCATGGCAACAAATGTGTTAAGAAGTATTTTGGTGTTCTCTGTGTACATGGTATGCTACACATCCACCCATAGAACTGAAATTGACAGTTCGCGATTTGAAGAAGGAAAAAAGCAACTAGAACTTATTCAAAGAAAATCAGAGATGCCCAAGTATGGTCTATGCTGGCTCAATGCTATGACTTTAATCAAAACTGAGTGCAAGCGTTTAAGTGATGTGACACAAACACGGCTAGCTCTTGCTTACCTAAACTGCTTTTTACAGGTCAGTTGTGTGGTTTTTTTTGTGAGCTTGTTAATGTGAATTGAAGTTTTTGTTGCAAAATATGTCATCACTTATTTTATTGTATGACTAGAAGATTTTAAACATTAAAAATATTTTTTAAACTAATATGAAACCCTCATCCTATTATCATAAGCATAAACATCCAGGAAGATTAAAAATGTCATTTTGATTTTTTTTCAAAATGAAATAGTAATACAGTCATATGAATCACTGGTCGATTCTTCAAGGCTTAATACATATACAGTTAATGTTCTTTAAGTAACATTTAATATCAAGCTAAAGTAATGTCTTTTGGACAAAGACTTTAAAAATTGCCTGGCAAAACATTTTATAATTTTATATTTCCAGATCCAGGGACGAACAAGCTATGAATGTGATGATGTTACAGAAATAACAGCATGTGTTCAGCACATGAATGAAGCCGACCGCAGCTCGTTTACAACATTCTTTACACACACTCAGAACATTTGTTACTTTCTCCAGGCTCAGGTGTGGCAGGAGGAGACAGAGATGACGATTAACCGTCTCACTGTCACAAGTACTCAGGTAAACAAGTCTAATTTCAATTTTTACCATATATGACATTACTGTGAAGTTGATAAAGACAGTTTATGTCAACTTTATTGCTTCATAATTTATTTCAAAACTATTGATTGCCACCACTTTAAAGAACCAAACGCTTGCACTCAGTTTTGATTAAAGTCATAGCATTGAGCCAGCATAGACCATACTTGGGCATCTCTGATTTGCTTTGAATAAGTTCTAGTTGCTTTTTTTTCACGACGGCGCCGGGGGCGTCAGATCTCGCAGCAGGGTTACCGGCCATCTGACCAGGGATCACGATCGACTGATCAAAGCGCGCGTCACGGCCATCTGACCAGGGATCACGATCGACTGATCAAAGCGCGCGTCAGATCTCGCAGCAGGGTACCGGCCATCTGACCAGGGTATTTACCTGGGACGACTGGTTGCCGACTGATCAAAGGGGCGGGCGCGAGTACAGACCTGGGGAGGGAACTCTATGAACCAGGGACTTATAAATAGGGACCTCTGGACGGGACGGACAGAACGCGGCCGGACAGAGAAGCAGACAGTCAGGGAGAGCACTGACGGTATGAGAAGAGGGCAGTCAGAGTTGCGAGATGAGAGAAAGTATAAGCGAAGTGTCAGCCTAATAAAGAACAAGATTATAATCATCAAATGTTATCGCCTGAGTTGTTTCCTTAGTGAATGACAGATATAGATGAAGGTTAGCAGAGAGCAACTAAAGGTTTCCCTACCGCTGCCTTCTTCAAATCGCGCCAGTAACCATTAACTATGCCATTGTTTGCATGTTCAAAACTATGATATTTATATGTTCAAAAAAAGTACTATAATGTTAAATAGAGTAGCTTGTATCATTTGTAAAAGCTTTATTATGACTATGTTTAGTATGTCAGTAGTGATAAGTGTAAACGTCAACTTAATACAATTTTTAAGCTATCTATAGAAAAACTGTAAAGCAGCAACAAAAATAACTAAGTTCAGCTTAGCTTTATTTTTGTAAAACAAATATTGGTGAGATTTTTTTTTGTATATAGTCTTATAACTTGAAAAAACTGTTTCTATCAACTCTATATTTATATTACATTAATTCCATTAAATTTTTATATTTGACTTATTTGTTTCTTGTGGTATTAATACTTTTGAGTTATTCCATTGGTTTTCTTCTGTGTAGGTAACTGAGCAACTTGAAATGTCCCAACAACTACAGAAAGATATGCTGTCTTCCCAAAACCAAAGTATTAAAAATCAAGAGACCCTGATTGTTCAAGCTTACAGCCTCAGTGACATCATCAATTCATCATCACAAAATGTTCGCATTCTATTTGAAGACCTGAAGGTAAGTTCATAATAAAACAATAATACTCTTGGAAACGTATTTAGTTTCCCTGTTCATTTCAATTTCAAGTTTCTAATATATTATTTTGATCCAATTTCAATTTGACATTTTATCTCTTTAGAACTTTTCAGGATTCTGATAGCCTAACAGAATCAGTATTTTGAAGTTATTAAACATGAAAAACGCTTTAGAGAATTTACCCTAGGAAATAATTTAGCTTTTAATTGATTTTTTGTACTGTGGTACTATAGAAACATAAGATCTCAAATTATATATATCTTGCAACTCTTTTTTATTATGTTACATTTCTACCTAGTGCAAAGAATATAACCAAAAAAAGCAAAGCAATTATTTTATTCATATTTGGCATGGTACATTATCAATTTGAATTATCTTGTGTGAAATTATTATTTTCTTAAGACTTGTTTTTTTTTTAATTCTGTGCTCGAATGCAGCTTTATTTCACACTTAAAATCTAACTAAAAAGTTGAAAGAATATAATTTTTTATGGATGGATACACGTTAGGTTTTATAATTATATCAATATACTTCATATGAACTTAGAAGCTATCATAAATATGTTTTCCTAAGAGCTTAGCAAATTTATGACATAAAATGTATTGTGATTTTTAAATATTTCCCTAATATTTGATATAGTGTTTTTTTTGTTTTCGCGATGTTCTGAACAAATTTTGTCATTATAGCAATCTACCCAAGAACAGAGAGAGATTATTGGAGACTTATTTAATCAACTGGCCAAACTGCAGACCACTATCCTAGGAGAGGTTTCTGGCTTTTATTCACTTTTCTTTTATCTGATGTCAGTACTTGTATGCTACCTATTGACATCAACGGCACGCACCTCAGGTACATTTAGTGACACCATAGAAGGGCAACTAGTTTTTTAAAGTTACTTTGTAATGTTGTTCTATTTACTTCAATCTCAATTTGCTTCACAAGAGGATTGATCAGTTAAAATAAGTATTGCAGCCTGGTTGCATTCTTGGTCTAATAAAGATGAAGCTTTGATAAATGTTGTTACTTTTGTAATGCCTTTTTGTTGTTTTGTCTTACTGTTTGCACTGATCTAGTCTGTGGGGAAACTTTATTTTATATCAGTCCTAATCTGCTTATCATAACACCTTTAGTTAGTGAGTCTCGCTGTATCCCAGACTTGCATTTCAGTGACAAAACTATTTATTAAAATCAATCACGTTTATATTATTATATATTTCATTTGATGCCAGTTGTTTATTTATAGTATTGGTATAGCTAAGGACAGCAGATTTATTGTACCATGCCAGGTTGGCCTGGCCACCGTCAGCTCAGTTCCTTGGTCAGATTTTTTTTCAGGATTCTTCACCTCCCCATTCAATGTCACCCAAATAAAACTATTTATCAAGATGAATCTTTATGTTCAAGGCTATTGGCAAATCTTATGCCATGTCCTTACATATGTGAATAGCTCTAACTGTCATGAAATCTAAGATATCTATGTTTAGCTAACACTTTTAACGAACTAACTTCTTCCCTCAGGGGCAAGAATCTGGCTGTTTCTTATCATGACAGTCAATGTAATCCTGGAACAGACTTTAATTAAATGGATCGCTGGCTTCTATTCCTCTGGTGATGTTAACAGTGTAGGTATATTTTGGTGAACCAATTTCATCATATCACGCTTGTATGTTGACATTTTGCCCTCTAGTGAACATATGACATCATATTCTTGTACTTAATTTGACCCAAAGTTGCATGGACCATCCAAAAATTTGACCCAAATGTGCATGTAACATCCACAAATTTGACCCAATCTTGCATGACCCATCCACAACTTTGACCCAAAGGTGCATGGCCTATCCACAAATTGGACCCAAAGGTCCATGAACCATCCACAAATTTGACCCAAAGGTGCAATGACCATCCACAAATTCTTAGCATTGATCCTAGTTCTGAGCTGCTCTTTCCAGCTTTTTCCACTTCTTGCAACAGGGCAATAGAAAGAGAAGATCACATGGACAGGGGAGCTCATCAGAGAGATTGAGGTGACTGCCCTTGTCCCCTCTCCACGTGTTCTTCCTTTCTTTCTATTGCCCTGTGGATCCCACCACATAGACTGTCTAGCACACTGTGGATCCCACCACATAGACTGTCTAGCACACTGTGGATCCCACCACATAGACTGTCTAGCACACTGTGGATCCCACCACATAGACTGTCTAGCACACTGTGGATCCCACCACATAGACTGTCTAGCACACTGTGGATCCCACCACATAGACTGTCTAGCACACTGTGGATCCCACCACATAGACTGTCTAGCACACTGTGGATCCCACCACATAGACTGTCTAGCACACTGTGGATCCCACCACATAGACTGTCTAGCACACTGTGGATCCCACCACATAGACTGTCTAGCACACTGTGGATCCCACCACATAGACTGTCTAGCACACTGTTAACATTTGACTTTGTTTTCTCACATTCCTTTGGTGTTTCTCATTTCCACATTTATTGACACAGGAGCAACTCTACTGGCTGCAGAAAATGATCCGTCGAGCGGCCATGTTGCTGGCGCTGCTGACACTCACTGCGTGCACCTACCTGTATAAAGATATCAACGCCTTAAATAACCAACTGCTGGTAGAGATCAGAAAACAGAATTCTGAACTGAAGAGGTTCATTACCGGTAAATAAATAAATATTATTAGCATTGACATTGTCAGTTAGAAAGGTTGATGTCACTAGTCTCTGTCTGCATAATTTAATCACTGAAAGATTACAAAAAATGCATTTTTTTCCTGATGCCTCAAGGATTGATAAAATAATAACACTTAGTCACTTCCATAGGCTTTAACCCAGGGGGTCTCAAACGAATTTCATGTGAATCTCACCGACTATTATAATTCTAATTTTTAATGTTTATATAAATACCTATAGATTTTGACGTTGATTATAATGGTAAAAACCGTTTTTTCAATGGTACTACCATTTTTTATGTGATAGTATTTTATGTGACAAACATGGCCAAAGTCTGGTTGGGAGAAAACACGCTTCGAATATTGTATATACATGTATCAAAAGTTTAAAAAGTCAGTGGGTAATACACAACCATAACTGTGTAAATCGTGGCAATCTGACACAGTATCAAACAATCCCTATTACACAATGGCCACCAGTGTGTACCAGTGATGAGACGAGTGACGCCAGTGTGTACCAGTGATGAGACGAGTGACGCCAGTGTGTACCAGTGATGAGACGAGTGACGCCATTGTGTACCAGTGATGAGACGAGTGAAGTTCCGAGCCTATCAGCTTGTTCTCGTGAAACATGAATTGGGAGTGTTACCCAGTGGAGGGAAAATATATTTTATTACACAGTGCAAATAAATATTGGCGACACCCGACCGCAGTTATGTCTTTCTCAAAACCTGCAGTGAAGAGAAAGGTTGGCGATGAGCGCAGACAATTTCAGGAGAAGTGGGAGACAAACTATTGCTTTGTTGAGCACAAGGGCATTCCGACGTGCCTTATATGCACCGAGAAAGTGGCAGTTCACAAGGAGTACAACGTCAGACGTCATTATTAAACCAGACATGCTGAGGAGTAGGCAAAATACCAGGGAGATGAGAGAGAGGCCCGGGTTGCTAAACTTAAAACATGTCTACTGAGGCAGCATGATTTTTGTCAAGAAAGCAAAGAAAGAAAGTGATGCAGCAGTTGAAGCTAGTTACTTGGTGAGTGAGATGATTGCTTAAGGCAGGAAAGTCATTCAAAGAAGGCGAGTTCATAAAAAATTGCATGTCACAAGCTGCAAGTTTTGTCTGTCCAGAAAAAAGGTTCAGTTTAGCAACATCAGCCTTTCAGCCAACACTGTGGCAGAGGGCATTTCTGAGCTGTCAGGTGACATTTATGATCACCTGTGTGAGAAAGGTAAACATTGCCATGCATACTCAGTCGCTCTTGGTGCGAGCTTAGATGTTACTGACACTGCACAGCTCGCAATATATGACAGTGATGTTGATAATTTTGAATGGGATGGAGGAGTTGCTCAAAGTGATTCCAATGCATGACCAGACCACTGCTCGGGAGATATTCGGCCAGCTGTGAGATGCCATTGTGGATGCCGGGTTACCGTGGATAAATTTTGCAGGAATAAAAACCGACAGAGCGCCATCAATGACAGGGAAAATAAATGGACTCGTGGCACACGTTCAAAGAAAACTGAAAGAGGAGGGTGTGGAAGAGGCCATTGCTACACTGCATTATCCATCAGCAGGCCCTTTGCAGCAAATGCCTGAAGTTTGAAAATGTGATGTCTGACGTTGTGAAATGCATCATCATCAACCATTTCAGATCCAGGGGCTTGAAGCACCGGCAGTTCCGTGCCTTTTTATTGGAAATAGAGTCAGCATATGAGGAAGTTATCTACTTCACCGAGGTAAGTTGGCTTAGTAGGGGAAACGTCTTGAAAAGGTTTTTTGATTTGAGAGCAGAAATCAAAGCTTCATGGAGAAGGATGGCGTGGTTTTTCCTGTACTAAATTATCCCAAATGGCTCATGGACTTGGCTTTTCTTGTTGACATTACACAGGAGCTGAATGTACTCAACAAGAAGTTACAAGGCCAGGGGCAGCTTATCAGTGTTGCCTATGACAATGTCAGGGCATTCTGCACAAAACTTGTGTTATGGAAAGCCCAGCTTTCTGAGAGAAACCTCTGCCATTTTCCAACATGCAAAGCACTCATGGACTCGGCCACACCATTCAGTAGTAAGAATACTGATGCCATTGAAAAGCTACAGGAAGAATTTGCTCACAGGTTTGCAGACTTCAAAACACACAAAGCAACTTTTAAAATTTTGCTGACCCTTTCTCCTTCAATGTGAAAGATGCCCCCCCCCCCCTTTTGCGCTTCAAATGGAGCTGATTGAACTTCAGTGAACTCAAGGCTTTTTGGGAGTACCTGTCTGTGTGAAAAGCTATTTTTCACTATAAACTTTAACAAGTCAAAGTTCAGGGTGAAACTTACTGATGAGCATCTTTAAGTTATACTGAGGGTCTCAGTTGCTTCCTCACTCAAGCCACATGTTTCTCAGCTGTGTAAGAAGAGGCGCTGCCAGGTCTCTGGCAACAAGTAGAAGAAGAAAGTAGGTGAAGCTTAGTTCTTGAGAACCCTTAATGTTTGTTATTAACAAAGTTTGAGCAGATTGTAACAGTTGTAGTTGAATTTGTAATCACTTTTCTGTGTAGATTACTTGATTGCAGCCCAGTTTCACTCAGACACTACCTGCGGTCCCCGGCTAATTTGAGTTTGAGACCCCTGCTTTGACCCTTTTATCAATGTTTATTTTAGGCATTGGTCTGCATCTTGATCAATGTTTCCATTGCTAAGTATGTTATAATCCATAGTATGAATATTTGACGTTTTTTAAATAATCAATTATAAAAAGTACTTGCTTTGATTGTGATTAGTCCAACCTTTTATATTTAGATCACTCTGGGTCTGTGCTGTCAATAAAAAAAGAAGCTGCTACAAGGCAGGCTGATCATAAAGAAGGTAAATTGCTTTGTTTTTGAATAGGGTTGAATGCATGCAATGTACTTAATGCACAAATATAATAATTTGGAGACTTCTTAAAAACAGAATAGAAAATATTCTGATACATAACTCTACGTCCATTTAACGCTACTCGTCCGCTTAACTTGCTAGATTTGATTTGTAAAAGATTATAGTGTGTACGTTGCTCCAATTATATTTTTTAAACACAAATTAACTAAACAAAATATTTTAATAAAGTGAACTGGGAATATAAAGAAATACATTATTTTGTATGGATTATCATTAGTTATCTTGGGGATTAAAATAAAAATATAAAATAATGGTAACCTTATGGCTCCACGGCAGACTCTATTGACAGTGATTACACAAGTGATAACAACGATGATGATGATGATGGTGATACTGACTCTGATAAAACCTACATCTTGCCGGAAAATGCTGAAACTGAAAGCTTTGTAACACTATCTAATGTAGGTAGAACACAGGCATTTTAACACTATCAAATATAGGTAGAACAGACATTTTAACACTATCAAATGTAGGTAGAGAACAGACATTTTAACAGTTTAATAACATTAAGAAATTTAAACATCAAGGAACAAGTGATTTTTAATTTTTTTAAATGTCATATTTTTTTAACATGTTGCCAACAGAACAGATGACAGAAAATGCAGATTTTCCCTGATTGGGGCTTGGTTAGGAAGAGAACATTTTCTTGATCAGTCTCTTTTAAATTCTTAATCTCTAAACTGATTTTATTCTGATGAGATCAGCTGAGATTGCATTTTTTAAAATTTAATACCAGTTTGGAAATATGATGTGAAAAAAACTTGAAAAATTCCTTGTTGTAGAAAGTTTTAAAACTAGCTGTAAATTGTATGAATTTACACAATACATCTAAGATGTTTCATAGATGAACTTTTAAAACTCGCTATAAAATGTATGAATTTACACCATGATACAGCTAAGAAATATCATACATGAACTTTTAAAACTAGCTGTAAATTTTATTAATTTACACGATACATCTAAGATATTTCATACATGAACTTTTAAAACTACCTATAACATTTATGAATTCACACCATGATACAGCTAAGAAATATCAAACATGTACTTTTAAAACTAGCTGTAAATTTTATGAATTTACAAGATACAGCAAAGATACTTCATACATGAACTTTTAAAACTAGCTATAAATTTTATGAATTTACACAATGATACAGCTAAGATATTTCATGCATACATGAACTTTTATCAACTATGTGGTTGAAAAGATTGATGAACATTTGAAAGTTTATCGGGAATATGGAGAATACCTTCATATTTTTCAGACGGAATCCAACAAACCAGATATTTCTCTGCTGTGTGAACTGTATGAACTGCGGAAGGCTATACCTATGACAGATCGTTGCACCAGTGTCCAATCTTGGTTGGAAACCTCGTTCCACGCAAAGGGTGAGTCCAAATTATTGATTACTTCCCTTTGTACTGAAGGCCTATGATGTATTTGTCTGATAGGGCTGTCATTACCACATTTGTTCAAAAATGGAATAGAATCTGTATAAAAAATATGTAATAGTGTCAATACCTTAACTATAGACTGTGCAACAAGCTAGCTAAAAAAAAACAATTTATTTAAAGTTTCCGTTGGAACATTATTTGATATTTCTGTTCAGACATTATTTGATTTTTCTTTTGGGACATAATTTGAGAACCCAACAACTCAAGCCTTCATATCACTCTATTCTTCAATCCAAAATGTGTTATAATTTTTAGCCTGAGTGAGCATGATGAATTCTGTCAGCACAATATTTCAATGCTTGAATACTATCTTTACTTCCCAGGTAATAATGACATTAAAACTGCCTCGCCAAGACCACAGAGTCCTTTTGGATCAAATCCTGTAAGTTTAAATTTCATCTGTTAGTCAGCAGTAATTAAGTATCTCATTAAAACTGCCTGGCCAAGACCACAGAGTCCTTTTGGATCAAATCCTGTAAGTTTAAATTTCATCTGTTAGTCAGCAGGAATTAAGTATCTCATTAAAACTGCCTGGCCAAGACCACAGAGTCCTTTTGGATCAAATCCTGTAAGTTTAAATTTCATCTGTTAGTCAGCAGGAATTAAGTATCTCATTAAAACTGCCTCGCCAAGACCACAGAGTCCTTTTGGATCAAATCCTGTAAGTTTAAATTTCATCTGTTAGTCAGCAGGAATTAAGTATCTGATTAAAACTGCCTCGCCAAGACCACAGAGTCCTTTTGGATCAAATCCTGTAAGTTTAAATTTCATCTGTTAGTCAGCAGGAATTAAGTATCTCATTAAAACTGCCTCGCCAAGACCACAGAGTCCTTTTGGATCAAATCCTGCCAAGACCACAGAGTCCTTTTGGATCAAATCCTGTAAGTTTAAATTTCATCTGTTAGTCAGCAGGAATTAAGTATCTCATTAAAACTGCCTCGCCAAGACCACAGAGTCCTTTTGGATCAAATCCTGTAAGTTTAAATTTCATCTGTTAGTCAGCAGGAATTAAGTATCTCATTAAAACTGCCTGGCCAAGACCACAGAGTCCTTTTGGATCAAATCCTGTAAGTTTAAATTTCATCTGTTAGTCAGCAGGAATTAAGTATCTCATTAAAACTGCCTGGCCAAGACCACAGAGTCCTTTTGGATCAAATCCTGTAAGTTTAAATTTCATCTGTTAGTCAGCAGGAATTAAGTATCTCATTAAAAATGCATGGTCTGAACAATGTTCCCTTTAAGCTGCCAGCCGCGCAGCAATCTCACAGACGCCGCGCAGCAGTTTTGAGTACTGCTCAGCTAATTTCCACTTAAAAGTGTGTTTTTGTGTCTGTAGGTTGAAAATTTTGCGCACAAAAAAATTGATGCTGTAAAAATGTGCACACAACTTTATGATTTTGCACACGAACCAACAAACCTTAGAGGGAACATTGGGTCTGAAAATAAGCAAGTGATAATTAAGTTACATTGGTGACTAACTTCAGGCTCTGTAAACTTCCTTTTTCTTTCTACTAAGGCTCTCAGTTATTGCCAGAGAAAGGGAGATTCCTTTTTTGTGGTTTATTATCTTTTTGAATGGTAATAGCTGGTGTTTATTTTGTCTTTTTGTAATTAACAATTTTGCAACTCATAAAATTTCAAGTTTGTAATTTTTATGTTCTATAGTAGTCTTAGACCCTGTAATAATGATGGTGTCACCTTTAAATCATTCCTTAATTAATACTGTAATGTAGGCTATGTTTATCGACAGAGTTCACCCTACAATCTTCGCCCAAGAAAAGCTAATGCTAGTCCCAGCTCAAGCTGTGCTGTTAAAGACGAGTCTCCCAGAAGTTTCTCTAAAACTGTCCATCAGATGCAGCAGATAGCAGAGCAGAACAGCAGACTGATAGGGGCGTACAAGCAAAGTCAGCCACTGTCTCCACAGAGTTTTAGCTGGTCTCAGCCCATTGTATCAAGTTCAGTGAGTGGGAGAAGCAGTAGGAGTGGCTCAGTCACAAGTCTCAAAGGTAGAGGCAGTGCAACAAAGATTGAAGAAAGATCTAATATTGTCACAAGAGGCAATCACAATCGGAAATAGACCTTGTCTTTATTTATTTTATTTTTTCTCCACATTGTTTTCAACATTGCATGATGACCAAGGCCATTTTTTAAAGCAATTTTGTTATATCATTTTGTTATGGCCTTTTGTTATAGCAATTTTTTTTTTAAAACTAAGATCCAAAATGAAATGTGGCAGTGACTGACACAATTCAGACAACTATGACATGTGGCAGTGACTGACATGATTCAGACAACTATAAAATGTGGGAGTGACTGACATGATTCAGACAACTATGACAAGTGGCAGTGACTGACATGATTCAGACAGCTATGACATGTGGCAGTGACTGTCATGATTCAGACAGCTATGACATGATTCAGACCTAAGAACCAAAAGACAATGGATTCATTATAACTAGATGAAAACTGTGAGTCTGCTTTAAGCCTGAATTTCAGAGTCCTTTTTAAGTCTTTATTTCTGATGTTGTAGTTGTAATCAAGATGATTTTTTTAAAAGTCCCCTTTTTTGTTTCATTGAGATGCCTGCGAACAAATACAAAATATATACACCATTTCCCCAAATAAAAATAATTAAGATTACGTGTAATTTCAATGAAATGATGCTGAAATAACGCAAATTAGTATTTTGGCTGAAAAGTCGCGATATCAATTATTTTCAGCAAGTCCCTTTTTATTATTCGAGATCTCAGGAAATATCAATGACTCGTCCTCTTAAGTGGTACATCATTAATATTTATTAAAATGCTTGCAATATTTGAATGTGCAAAACATTTTGCATTCACAACTTCGTGATACATTTTTTTTGTATTTTCTGTCTGGCTGTCATATTTTTTTTACATAGATTTGGATCATTTCCATTTTTCTGAGCCCTCTGTCATCCCTTGCTCAATTTTTATGATGCAAGTTACCATTTTAGAATATAAATAGTGTTTTATTTCACCAGTGTAAAAGAAATGTGAAGACTATATGTTTTTGCTGTAGCCCAGATGAGTGGTTCCCATATTTTGGTTTTCAGTCCTCTGTGCACAGTCTGAATCTAAGTTTTCCAAGTCACCCAATTACAAATTTTAACAAGTTTTACAAACAGCAAATAAATTTTATCTTGAAAGGTCTGAGTCAAAATAGCAAGAAACATTTATTTAAGATCACCAGAAAATGTAATGACAGTAATTGAACGAATTCAACTAATTGTAAATAGTGGGGAGGATAAGCCATCTGATCAACATATTTTCTCAAACCTTGGGATCAGTTTGGGCCCAGCCACCCTTATTTAATTCTCCGCATTAATTTTCACATAGTTTTCATCGCAGCACCTGCCATACATGTTATAAAATTTCACAGCCCCCCTGTGAAAGAGTCGCCACTCACATTTTGGGAACCACCAGCCTGGATTTATCTAAGAGCTTGAATGGGCTGATAGAAACATTGGTTACATCTGATGTCTGTAGTAGTTTGAGAGCTGACAAGAACAGAGTAGGTGATAATCTAGTGCATACTGTCGGATTCAACAGACACTGGTCTCATACCTACCCAAGTATCATGAGAGGAGTCCTATAAATTTTTATTTTAATGATTGAATGGCATTAAATTTTATGTTTAAAACACAGATGTTGATTTTATCTGTAAATTCATCTTTTTATGACCATGAAATTGAAAAGTTGCATGAGCTATTTACCATTTATTGATATTAAAATATAAGGTTTAAAAAGATTTAATTTAATATACTTCAAGAATTGGTGCTCACAAGTTTGAGAAGATTTTAATGTTTTAGTACCTTTTATATTTAATATTCTATTGGTTCATAGGGTCATTTTGGTTCATTGTACTATAGATTTTTATTTATTTATCCTTGCTGCATTTTTGTGTATTGACGTCTGCCAGCATTATGTGTACTGACGTCTGGCATTAGTCTGATGTGTGAAAATAGTTTACAAATAAATATTTTAAATGCTATGGTACTTTGTTTCTTTTTTTCCCCATCTAAGTTTTGGTAGAACATGGTTTGGAAAAAATATTAAGTTACTGCTAAATTATCTCAGTGACAAAACCAGTTTGTGCTTTTTAAAGACGGGTGTCCTCAATGTAAAACAAGAAGGCAGATAACTAAACAATAATGAGAAAAATTCAAAATCAACAACGAAAAGTTAACTTAATGTTAATATGACCCCCCCCCCTTTTTCCGCGCCACTCCCCCCCTCCGCGCCACCCCCCAATCCTCAAAAAAAAAAACATAACCCGACAACTCTGTTAGCAAAAAGTCTGTTGACGACCATTCTTCTACTTCTCATCACACCCAATCTTCTCTTTGTTAATAGATTACAGTGGTTCTAAAACTTTCTACAGCCATCGCCTCCTTGGCACCCTGGCGCCCCCTGCTCTTTAAAAGTAGAATTATGATGATCAGGCACTTAGTACAGTAATTAACTTTCAAATCGCTCACATTACTGTATGATTTGGATGGGCTCAGTAAAGTGATGCCATGTCTGGTAACTCTCAGTAAAGTGATGCCATGTCTGGTAACTCTCAGTAAAGTGATGCCATGTCTGGTAACTCTCAGTAAAGTGATGCCATGTCTGGTAACTCTCAGTAAAGTGATGCCATGTCTGGTAACTCTCAGTAAAGTGATGCCATGTCTGGTAACTCTCAGTAAAGTGATGCCATGTCTGGTAACTCTCAGTAAAGTGATGCCATGTCTGGTAACTTTCAGTAAAGTGATGCCATGTCTGGTTATTTAACATCCTTAAAAAGTCAAAACATTCGCACATATGGATTATATTTTTTTGTATTTCTTGCGCTGTTTGACCACTGTCCACGGTGCATAATAATGACACGAAAAGTTCTTTACACGCGTGCCTCAAGTACGATGTCCTCAACTTTGGCTTCAGCCTTGAAATATCCAAATTCATCTGCACCTAAAAATGGATTTATCACCCAATCTAAAATTTTAACTAAATAAGACCCTAAAAGCATTTAGATACTGTAATAATATTCAAATGGTTTACAAAATATTTAAGTATTAGGGTGGCATGTGTGTACGGACCGCACCGTATGACACTGACAGGGTGCGGTGGGAGGGGAGGGGATTATCAAATTGAAAATGTGACAATGTTCTCTTATGTCAGTTTCAAAACAGAACTCAGTTAATTACATGAGCAGGTTGTCACCTGAATAGGCTGTTACCAGACAGAGTAGGCTGTCACCTGAATAGGCTGTTACCAGACAGAGCAGGTTGTCACCTGAATAGGTTGTTACCAGACAGAGTAGGCTGTCACCTGAATAGGGTGTTACCAGACAGAGTAGGCTGTCACCTGAATAGGCTGTTACCAGACAGAGCAGGTTGTCACCTGAATAGGCTGTTACCAGACAGAGTAGCCTGTCCCCTGAATAGGGTGTTACCAGACAGAGTAGGCTGTTACCTGAATAGGGTGTTACCAGACAGAGTAGGCTGTCACCTGATTAGGGTGTTACCAGGCATAGCAGGTTATCGCCAGAACAAAGTCTCACTATAACAGTTTGCCACAAGAACAGGGTGTCAGATCAGGCCAGGGAATCACGATGTAGAGTAGGGAGCTACAAACGAGGAAATTTTGCGTCATGTCAGGCTGCAAACAGAAAAGGTTGCCACTAGAGAAGGCTGTAATAGAAATGAACGACGCACACTCTTCTGTGTTCGGTGTAACTACTGACCTTTATTCTACATTAAACATCCTTTTTATACCTCTACATTCATGATCACTCATTCCGCTTTTCCATGCATTTAAGTTTAAAACGTTCATGAATAAAAACAACTCACGACGTCCAGCCATACCACATAACAACAACAACACAGGACAATCAGGTCAACAACTTCACTCACTGCTTACAATGATAATCTTCAGTCATACTGTCACAAAGGGTTTCACCAGAGAAGTGTGCCACCACAGAAGTGTGTCACCAGACAAGTGTGTCACCAGACAATTGTGTCACCAGACAAGTGTGTCACCAGACAAGTGTGTCACCAGACAAGTGTGTCACCAGACAAGTGTGTCACCAGACAAGTGTGTCACCAGACAAGTGTGTCTGTGTCTCAAGACAAGTGTGTCACAAGACAAGTGTGTCACAAGACAAGTGTGTCACCAGACAAGAGCAGAAAGACTCTGTGATGCCCATGTGAAATGTGATAAGGAGGGTGACACCATGGGTGCTACGAAGATTTAGTTGTGTTAATATTTGGCTCGTAGAATGAACCATCCGTAACAAGGGACTGAGAAAATAGTATGCAAAAAGAACCTATACACAGGCTAGTGATACCAACAATAGTTAATTTAATTTTTATAAATAATTTCTATACATATACAAATTATAGCACAGGAGCAAAATGACTGCATCAACTTACAGAAAGCGGTCGTCCATTAATTACTAAGCAAAACCTGTAGTTCAGACTCCTCTGCACAAAATATGGCTAAAAAAAAGTCTGCATTATCACAGGATACTGAAGTAAACGCTTAAGATACATTCCATTATGAGCGTATGGTGAAAAAAAAAAAAAAAAAAAAAAAGGAATTATATTATAAATAAATGTATAAATACATTTTACTTTGTGCTGATCTATTTTAATGACAATAAAATTGTAGGAACAACATTTCATTTCATGTTTAGCTTGTTAATCAACAAGTTAAAAAGTTTTTACACTTAAATTTGATAATGCAGAATCAATTGAAAGGTTACTAAAGACTACATATCATTGCTTGTGGAATAAATATGATTATTGCCAGTAAAGCTGACAATTTTAGTATAGCTTCTAGCTGCTATCATCTTCCCCAGGAGTATCCAGGTTTGCTCTATCATAACAATGGGCATCAGGGACTTCATTTGGGTAGGGAAGGGGGGCATTTACCCCCACCCCTAATTTGCAGGTTTTATTAAATTGCTATGTACTGTGGCGCCTCCAGTAATAAACTTAACAAGCCGACAAAGTTTTGGTTTTGCCCCCCTCCCTCCCTGAAAAAAAATGAAATGACGCCTCTGATGGGCTTAGTCTATAGCAACTGATTGATCATTTTAATCTTGCTGGGGGCTGGGGCTGTGGCTAAAAATTGTGTTTTCATCGACAAAGTATCTATGTGCCAAGTTTCAGCTCTATAGGTTGACGGGAAGATTTTGCCACACACCAAGACGGAAAGGGGCACACGAACTAACGTGAAGTAGGATTTAAAAATAAGCAGGCCACGGGGAAGGAGAAAAAGTTTGGGAAAAGCTGCCATGAGATTTGATTAATACCCTGTAGGCCTACATTAAAATTGTTTTTCTCAAGTGGGCCATCTTTGCATTCAGGGGGCCACATCAAATTTCTTGTAAGCAGTTTTTTTTTTTTTTTATTTAAATTAATTACAGGGAAGGGGGCCTTTGAGCTAAGTAAAATGTGTACATTTTTAGTATTAGACTTTTTCGCTTGCTGTGCTGTAAGTTAATATACCGGCTATTCTGTCTGTTTTTTTAAATTTCTGTATAGGCCCCTATTTGATTTTATATTTTTAACATCAACTTAATGGTAGGTCTATAATTTTGATTATTGTTAATATCACTAGCTTTGATATCGTTTTTTCTTTGTATATGTTTTTTTTTTCCAGTCCATTGTTCCACGTATTGTTCATCTAACGCGAGACAAATCTTAAAACAGATTAAATTTGTAAAACCATACAACGTCATGTAACATAAGGTAAGACTAATTATGTTGTATGTTCACTGACGTCTTAAGTACAACCTCTCTGTGCAGTCTTCGAAAAAGTTGTTATCCGAAACACCCCATGGTCCAAATTAATACGGAAAATCAAAGTTCTACTGTATTCACTATTGTGTATTGCCAATAAATTGACTGGGTACATTCATGCTGCGTAGAGGATTTTGGAGCCGTCTGCTCAGTTCACACGATCAAATTTTCGATCATACATTTCAATGAATCCTTGACACAACTTTTAAACTATTATTAGATCAATTCTCATTTTGTCCACACACACATACAAAAAAAAAAAAAAAAAAAAAAAAAAAAAAAAAAAAAAAAAAAAAAAAAAAAAAAAAAAAAAAAAAAAAAAAAACTATTATTAGATCAATTCTCATTTTGCCCACACACCAATAAAAAAAAAAAAAAAAAAAAAAAAAGAAGGGAAAAAAGAAAGAAACCACACACAAAATAGTGCGATCACACAAAAATTTGACGAAAATTTGATCGAGAGAATGGAGCCTTATTAAAACACTAGAAAAATTCATTGGACAAGAACAAAGAGGTTTGACTCCAAGGTTGGCAGGATGAATTTGTTCCAAATGCAAAATTTATTCCATCAGATACGTTTCAGAAACATCAAAAGAATATTTCCTGGAATAGACAGTACAAGAATTTTTAGCTTCACATTATATGATGGAGTAATTCCAAAGGAACCGATCATAGCTGAAATATCTTGAACTTCTGTGAAGTGAGCTGTGAGTCCAGTCAAGCTATAATATAATATGGCATCCTTCCGTCTACGTGAGACGATGGAGTAGCTATATAGTTCTACACTTTGACGAGTGGCTCACTAGGCCAATCCTAGAATGGTAATCACGGCCGCACCTCTCGCAGGAGAATGTTGAATCCCGGTAACTTCTTGATTTCCGAATTGTTCTTTTTGATTCGAGGGCCTCGTTTCGAGTAACTTCTGCCTTTTTCACTCCTCCAAACACTGCTGTTCGCCAGTTGAACCGATGTTCGGCAATGAACTCCCATTCGTTTGTTTCAATATTGGCTTCCCTCATGCTTCGTTTGCAAACGTCAACAAATCTCAGGCGCGGTCGTCCAATATGTCTTGTCCCCTCTGCCAACTCTCCATACAGCAGAATCTTTGAGATACGTCCTTCCTCCATTCTCCGTACATGACCTAACCAGCGAAGGCGTCTCTTGATAAGAAAGGAGAATATGCTAAACATGTGTGCAAGTTCCAAGATCTCCACGTTAGGCACCCTGTCCTGCCAACGAATTCGCAAAATGCGACGCAGACATCTTTGATGGAAGCTGTTGAGTTTCCGCTCCTGACTGGTATATGTGGTCCACACTTCGCTACCATATAGGAGCATGCTAAGCACGGTTGCCTGATTACCACTTATTTTTGTTTCATCAGTTAGATTGAGATTATTCCACACCCGCTTATTCAGTTTAGCCATAGTTTCTGTTGCTTTTGCAATCCTGATATTTATCTCTTCATCAACGGAGAGAGAACTAGAAATATTGGATCCCAGGTATATGAAATGATCAACAACCGAAAGATTATGACCCTCAATAGATATGATTGGAGGGGACGGTACTTCTTGCATCATTACATGAGTTTTCTGTAGACTAATCGAAAGTCCAAACTCTTTACGAGCATGTGATAGGAGATTAACAAGCCCCTGCAGACCTTCTTCTGTGTGAGATGTTAAGGCGGCATCGTCAGCGAACAGCAGTTCACGAATCAGCACCTTTTATACTTTGGTCTTTGCACGAAGGCGGGCGATATTGAACAGTCTTCCATCAGATCTTGTATGGACGTACACTCCATCTTCGCAGTCACTGAAAGCAAATTGAAGGAGCATCGAAAAGAAATAAATTGAAAAGAACGTTGGTGCCAGTACACAGCCCTGTTTTACTCCGCTGCTAACTGGGAATGACTCAGAGACAGCGCCATTGAAAGTTACTGTGATGTGCATGTTTTTGTGAAATGACTGTATTATTGTGAGCAGTCGTGGAGGACAACCTATTCTTTGCAAGATACAGAAAAGGCCTCTTCGACTTACCAAGTCAAATGCCTCGGTCAGGTCTATGAAGGCAATATAACGAGGCATATGCTGTTTGCGACATTTCTCCTGCATTTGGCCTAGCGAAAATATCATGTCTATTGTTGAGTCAATTTATAACAGAATCAATAATATGGTAAAAATTCTTCTGCTGAAATCGACTTCATCTGGTTCAAATGACATATTGGAATCACATGGAGTGTCCTCATCTTGGTCACCATGGACATTTTTTTCCTTCTCTTGATTGGGAACTCAGGACTGGTGTTTGCTGATTCAGCTGAAAATTTGGCCTCTTTTAGAAACCTTGACCACTCATACCAAACAGATTTTAGTTCACAGAAAGAGGAATTTAGATTTGTCTCTTCGGTGTCGATAGTGGCTTGAAGGATTTGTTTGCACGGGTCAATCAGGATTAGTACTTTCCTCCAAACACCTTGTCATGATTACACACGCGGAGAATCTCATAGATCTAATAGCTCACTTTACATCTGTACTTGTTTTGCACTCAGGTTCAGATTCATAACTTCCTTCAGGGCTTCAATTATTTCAGGCAAGTGATTGGAATGAACACTATCAAGTTTTTCAGTCCAGAGAGTTCCAGAGAGTTCCAGAAAGCCCATGGGGTGAAACACATCAATAATTTTCTTTAGTAGATCCCAGCGCCGTGGACTTCCTGAAAATATACTGTACACAGAGTGACTAACTCCAAACAGTATCTCAGTATCCGTACAACTTGAAACTGCATTCGATCCACATAAATTCAGTGCGTAAAATTAAAATCCGCATGATGAAAAGGCGGACAATCTGTTTTCCTTAAGAAGAACTGATTGAACTGATTGAACTACTTTCCAGCCATTTTTGCCCTGGCACATAATTTTTGTAGTTTCATTCTTGCTCATAGTGGTCGCTATGAACACAACACCTACAAGTCGTCGCGGCAAAGAGAAGATAATGCGATATTAATGAGGAAAAACAGTACTTGTAGCCCTTGCGTATCAGCGGACGAGGAAGAACTTTTAAAAAAATATGCCCCATGGCAGTGGTTTTCAACTTTTCTAATGCCGCGACCCCTTTATACAGTTCCACATGTTTTAGCGACCCCAACTATACAATTATTTTAGTTGCTACTTCATAACGGTAATTTTGCTTCTGTTATGAATCGCAATGTAAATATCTAATATGCAGGATTTTATTGTTACAAATTGAACATAACTAAAGCATAGTGATTAAAGACAAAAAACAATACAATAGGTCATTATATATTGTGAAATATTTATTTCTCATTACAAATAAATGAGATTTTGTCTTGAAGCATGGTGTAGCATGGGTAACAGTCTTAACATTTTTCCTTTCGACAACCATATCACTTCAGTGTCGAATAGCAGAGCATTGTTCGGCGCATCTAACTAGTTGCACAGCTGCAGAAACAACCGACTGTTTGAATTGCTCGCCATAACAAAATTGACGGAACTTAATGACGCATTTCATTACTTCCTTTAACTCTTGTGGCAGCGTCTTCGTTGCTGCTTAATATTTGCCGTTGAATCATACAGTGAGTTTCGATGAATTTTGGTGACTCATTCAGAAACAAACTTTTAAATCCAGATCGACATCCTAGCATAGCTGGAGCACCAACTGTGCAAACACCAAAAAACTTTTCCCAAGAGTTCTTATGATCTTTCAGAAATAAACCAACTGAGTCAAATACATCACGTGCAGTTGTTGTCGTTTCAAGAAGTTTTCAAAATAGAAACTCATCTTTAAAGTCACCATCATTAATATACCTCACGTAAACTAGTAAATATGAACCGTTTGCAACGTCTGTAAATTCATCAAGCTGGTTACTAAATATTGGAAGTGGAGCAGATTTAATTTCCTGGATTACTTGATCAAGAATATCAACTGTCAACAGTCATGTCATCTATTCTTCTGTGGACAATGTTGTTAGATAAGGAAATTGCACTCAGTTTCGTAACAAATTCGTCTCCAATCATAATGAAAATTTGTGAAATATCTGTTTTTTTTTAGCCGGACCAAATCAATCGGTTTCTGATTCTAAGACTATCGGTATCGGAGATGTGTGTTTTCCAATGGTCTTAGGCGACCCACATGAAAGGGTCGCGCGACCCACAGGTCGAGAACCGCTACCTACACAATCCAGAGGGGCATGTCTTGGTTTGGGGGGGGAGGGGGGAGGGGCACTCCATGTGGACGGGGCTCCGAGAGTTTAGACCTCACATAATCAACGACAGTCAATTTGACGAATTGTGTAGCCAATATGTTTGGTTAGCGGTTCATTTACACAGAATTTGAGTTAATATATTAAGAAGTGAATTCTTTGTAAAAATGATGGAATCTGTTTCTTTAGATCGAAACTGTTTTATTTCAAAATAAATATATTTCAATACAAATTGAATTTTCAAAGATATTTTATTACGATAACTTCGAAACAAACTTTTAAAAATCATTACAGCCATGTCCTCACTCCTGACCTGGGAGCTCTCCGTAACATGAAGTTACCGAAGTAAATCGGAAGAGAACGTTTCATCACAACAGAATTGTGTTCCTTCCCACTCTTTGCAATAGATTTATCACATTAAGTGTTTCGTGACCTCGCCAACATAACACTATCGAATATTTACGGTCAGACTATAAAATGTTTGATGGAATAAGCACGGTTGTACTTTTGGTTTATGTTATACTTCTATTGTTGGCGTTAATTGTTCTCACACTTGTAGTGCTGCTGGTTCACTCGGGACTTTTCAGGTCTGTAGACGATGTTGGAACTGGGCAACCTCCAATAGGACAGGTCATAATAGCTTATAGATTTCAGAAAGGCCCATACAATCAAGCGGGTCAAGTATTTACAGAGGCTGCTTTAATTGCACCACATAATAAAGCCTTAGGTATCTACTATGATGACCCAAACAAGGTATGTTCAATAAATAAATTATAATGGACTTGATGCCTAATACTAATATTAATATTTATAAATTATAGTTATAGCATATTATAATTATAGTATAGCCTTCTACCTTAAACTGTGCATCAAGCCATGTCAGATCCACGCTCCATCCATGAGTGTAGGGAAAGGGAACGAGAGGCATATATTTTTGGGGCTGCATTTTCTTCCACTTTATATACTTTTAAATAGTTACTTAAAAATATTTCTTTATTTTTTGTAAGCTCTACTCTACTTTAGTCTTTACTCATTTCACATTTTATTTCTCTTCGATTAGTGAGTAGCCTAGTCTTTACAAATTAATTAAATAATAATACATTTACTAATGACTAATGGTTTATTATTATTTTTTTTTAAATCCGGTTTTTGTTTAATATGGTACCTTCACTTATAACTAATATCCTTTTTAGAGGGCTTTGTTATATCACTACTTTTGTTACTTTTGCATTTATGTTATTTTTTGTTATGAATAGGAATGTTGTCTGTGTCAATGTAGAAGTTAAAAATTGGATTATGTTATACCGATAGCATGATATTTTCCTCTGTGTTTCTGACATCGTCAAGCAAAACAATGTGGTGAAATTGATGATTTGTACCATTCTAAAGAACAAAGAGGCAATAAAGGTGACTGGTGTAACAAAAGGAGTGACCCATTTACCGAAGCAAAGGTCTAAAGTGCTAGAAAAAGTAGAAAAAAACTGTTGTTAGTTTGTTCTTTGATAAATGGAAGCAGCTGGCTGTAGTCTGTCGTTAGAGAGAAAATATTTTGTGAAAAGGCTGGGCAGTTTCACAGTGATTTGTTGGCTTAAAAACAGAATACGATTGCTGAACCTGACGACTTAAACTTAAAGGTGAGAAGAGAGTGTTTGAATAAATTTTGGAAAAGAAGTTGAGTTCATAGTGTTATAAGATATGAAGAGGCTGCTAGTTCAGATACATTTTAATTATGGAACATGACTAAAAATTGTAAAAATGCAATATTTCTGAGACAGGAAGAGATTAATTGAATTTACATTGATTTAAACCAAATCCACAATTTTACATAGCTGCCATGTCTTTTTCCTGTTTGGTTTCTACATTTTACTTCAAATCACTTTCCATTCTTCTTTACTTTGTGTTATATACAAATGCGCACTATTTTTACTCTCATTTAATCTTTTCCTGGTGAACAGCCTGCATTATTATTGGGCATGTCTTGCTCCCTTTGATCTCGTTTACCACAAACCAATCTATCATCTGTTTCTTTACTCGAATGGGGTAGAACCCGATAGAACGTTTGAGTCACTATTACAATGCATATTCTGACATCAAATCTTCTATGGCATAGACTATAAATACAGGCTAGTGGCACGCATACCCGAGAGAGAGACGCAGATAGCGAGAGAGAGTTATTTTAGAACGTGTGAGGGCTTTGTTTACATCAGACTTCTTTTCACTATTTTTCCCTTTTTTTTTTTTTTTTTTTTTCACATTTTTTTTTTTTTGACGATGTAGAAGCCACACAATTAACTGTAAGTTAATAGTTTTTAATTTTTTTTTTTTTTTTTTTTTTTGTTTTTTTTTTTTATTTGGTTTTTTTTTTTTTTTTTTTTTTTTTTTTTTTTTTTTTTTTTTGCACATTGTGTTTTATTCGACGATGTAGAAGCCACACAATTAACTGTAAGTTAATAGTTTTTAATTTTTTTTTTTTTTTGACTTTTGTACTTTATTATTAACTTAACAAAACTTATTAATTGTAATTAGCCCTGTTTCGAGTATCATTCTTTGTTATTGTTTTTATCATTTGGTATCGTCTTTTGTTAAGCACTGTTTTGGAACAAGCCATACATTTAATATTTCTCCCTATTGACAACAGTGCGTAACACTTTGTTTCTGTCTGGTTTTTGCGCCCACTCCTATTTTTTCTCTTTTTTTTAGGTAGGATATATGTATATTATATACTATATATATATATTGTGTAAATTTAATTTATACTTATTTAAATATGTTGTTGATACTTGTTGTTATACTGATAAAGGCATGTGCCGAAATGTTAACTTGTGTATATTATGTAAAATTATTATCAAAGCTTAACATATACTGTAATGTTATATTGACACAAATTATTCATGTCTAATTAATCTATTAAATTTAAGAGCAGATTCACATAACAGATTCAGTTCGTTAACCAATGTTCCACTTATAGGATTATGGCAAGAGGATTTATGGAGCTCAAATTAAGCATTTAAATACTATAACTAATTATAGACCTGATTAAAATTAATAGAAAGAAAAAAAAAATGAAGCTCCTCAGGAGTGAGGATGTTAAAAGGGAATTGGATTTTAGGCTATTGGTTTAAAATAACTGGTTGTTAATTTTACAAGACAATAATCAAATTTAATTAAAAAATGTTAATAATAAATGTACAGTATAATGTAAACCTATGAAGTAGGCACTGGGTTTTCGTGTCTTACCGTACTGCATGCTGGTACTAAACTGTGGTATAAGAATTGAACAGTTGCTTTGTAAGTTCTACAAATCAGTTCACTTTCAGCTGCCACGCATGATATTATAAAATATAATGTCTCACCTTGCTGTGGGGAGCAGTTGGGAATGGATTGAGTGGTAAAACTGACAACCGATCCAAAACCATATCTAAAAACCAATAAATGATTTTCCACAAATTAATTTTGAAAAAATTTGGTATTAATATTCCTACACTCAGAGAAGAGACAGGGTGTGAAGTATCCTAACTGTCCTATGCTCAATGTGAAAAATTAAGGCTTTTTCTCCATTTCTGACTTGGGTGGCCACTATCCCCCACCAAATTCCTCCCAAAGGTTCTTTCTGTATGGTTATATAAAATAATTCATTTGTAGTTAATGTTAAACTTATTCAGTGAGAGTGATGTGCCCTAACAAGAGTTGTCTCTTCCTAAGTTCAATGACATTTACAGGGGTGAATGATGTGTATGTCTTTGTTGCCCTCTCACCTTCTTGGTGTTGAGTTATCTATGTCAAAAACTGGATGACAGCAGGGTTAAGTTGTTTATTTATATCAGTGGCTCTCAAACTTTTTTCTGTCAATCTATCAAGCTGAAACTTATGGAGGATTTATACGAAAACTTTGATCAAAGGGGTTGCTTAATTGGCAACACATTGCCATCTACAGGTTTAAAAATTTATTATATATTATTTTTACAAACTAACATTTATAACAATAAATAAGGGTAATTATTTAATTTCTTATTTCCATGTCCAATGAATGTATAGACAGGTATGTAGGGGGCTCCTTTTTAAAAAGCATCCATGGCTTTAGTACAGTATGCCATAGACCTTTGTATTTTTTGAGTGATGTCTATTCACTACCCTTGTACTGATTGACTGGCGTCTATTCATGACCCTTGGACTGATTGACTGGCGTCTATTCATGACCCTTGGACTGATTGACTGGTGTCTATTCATGACCCTTGCACTGATTGACTGGTGTCTAGTCATGACTTTTTTCCAAGGCTGTTGGTGATGTGATATCTTTTTGTCAAAGTTAATATCTTTTTAATTTCATAAAAGTTTTTCCGAGATAATCCACCACCGCCCTTTAGGAAGTCCTAATGCCCCCCTAAACCTACTAGGCATCAGGAGAGGGTACCACCCAATTTGAGTGGCATAAAAATGGCTTTTTTTTGTTTCTAATTAATATTAAAGAAGTACAAAGGCAGTTAATATAAATGTGATTTAAGTTTTAAGTGTGCTCCTCTAAAGTTTTAGGTATAAAATAAAGGTGTATGGGTTGAAATTATCAAATTATTAAACAATACAATGAAATAAAACTTCAAAACTATGCAATGTAATCAAACTTTAATAAGTTAAGCAAAAATAATGAATTATCTTTTATTTCCAGCTAAGAGATGTAATCTGTTTGCAATTATCTAGCATTATTTTATATACAATTTTAATTTTAAAGTTAAGTTTTGTAAAATAAATTTAAAAGAGGTGTTAGTCAACAGTTTTTTTCCCCATATATTTACCAAGTTCACATTGATAAGTAAGTTTAAGAAAGTCTATTAAATATTTTGTACACTGCACATTGTGTTGTTCCTGACCCTTGCCTGAATAATATAAATATAAGACAAAGTTGTCATTGCCTATTTGTTCAAAAATGTTGTGAGTTGGATTTTATGAAATTCTCAATGATATAACCTGTTCTTAATATCAATAATAAGTTTATTTATATCATTTATTTTTTTGTATTTGTTCAAACATTCAATATATATAGGAACTGCTAAATATTGGGACATATAATTTTTTTTAGCATGAAATTTCAGATGCATTGTTACCTTTTATCAGTTTTTCATATTCACTAAACATTCAGATCTGCTTAAGTTAAGGGTCATCAATAACTTAAATATTGACAGCTGATGACCTCTTTAATCTACACATATAATTTTCCTGAAACTCATTTAAAGTAAATGGAATGTGTTTTTAAATTGATTTAAATTAAGTTATTAAAAACTTCCAAGTTTTGCAACTCAAGGGGGAAAAATGAGTGAAGAAATCTCATTGATCATTGGAGAGCAAAATACAATTAAAATTAATTACTACAAAATTGTCTCAGTTCTAAGGGAACATACTTTTTACTGTGAGATCCCAGTCCTGTTACTATCAAATTGTCATCTCAATCCTGTTTCTATCAAGTTGTCATCCCATTCCTGTTTCTATCAAGTTGTCATCCCATTCCTGTTTCTATCAAGTTGTCGCTTGTACATACAATTTCTAAAACCTTGTAACCTAAAACATTCATAATAAGCTGCAGCAATTATCTTGGAAACATTCAGTTGATTATGGTTTGGCATTCTAATGTAATCATGAAAATAGTTTGGTTTTAGAGTGTGTTGTTTACTTGCATTACATAAGATTCTTTTATTTCACCAAAACACAATTTGTTGTACTTTGATTATACATGTTCATTCCAGCATATTTTGTGCAAACACAATTCAAACATTCTCAATTAACTTGACAATGTTAATAAAAAAAAATCAAAAATTAAAATCAGACTTACAAATTTCAATCAGCTAGTCTTTCTCATACACTTACTTACTTAAGACCTGTTAAGTGATTGTCTAAAAGATGGATAAGCATGTTGGTGCTCAATTCTAACAGAGTACATTGAAGAGCAAATGAGTTGGGGAGGTCTTATCATCAATATTATTATGACTCCTTCAATACCATTTGTTTATTCTAATTGAGACTTTCACTGGTTTAATCCGTCAGAGGTTTAGAAGTTTGTCTTTAAATACCCGTTCTTTTGCGGTTTAAAACACTTTTAAATATTGCATTCACATAAAAACTATACACTTTTACTTTCATTTCAGTTCACATGAGATATTGCATATCTAAGTACCTTTTACTTTTAATATCTCTTCAGTTCACATAACATATTGCATATCTTAAGTACCGTATTATATGACCTACTAAGTTCTGGTCCAACAACAACATCTTGGTTGATGTTTCTTGCAAAAATCTCTGCTTGCTTTCAGGTCCTTGTCCCCATGCAGTTAAGGGTGTTGGAGTTGGCTGCGGTGCATATATTAAGGTCCTTGTCCCTATGCAGTTTAGGGTGTCGGAGTTGGCTGCGGTGCATATATTAAGGTCCTTGTCCCTATGCAGTTAAGGGTGTTGGAGTTGGCTGCAGTGCATATCTTATCATTTGCAGGTTTCAGCTTTATTGAGAAGACTGCGAAACAAGAGGGTTGGGGGGAGCTTTGTTGATCATCTTTGGGGGTCACCTTCATAGAAAGTTTTAATTTTCTTGACTTGACTGACTCCTAATGGTGCAGAGATTTTAATTAGTGTTCCAAGTAATGGTCTTGTTTTTTCCTTTTCCTGGCTTTTCCTATCGAAAATGATGTTGATATAAATATCTGTGTATTTGAATGATCGCACTGACATGGTTCAAATATCTCTTTGTGCATTAAATTATGCCAATTGCCCATAGTCATAGATTATTTTGTCAGTGGGTGTTACCTAAATAAAAAATGTTAATCTCATTATTTCTCAGGTGGAATCACACAATCTACGCTATGTGGTTGGCTCTATCTTATCTGAAGGGTCAGCACCAGTTGATGAGGAAATGGTGAAACAATTTACTGATAGAGAATTTAAAATTATTCACCTACCTGAGGTAAACAGCTTGAATTTACTTGTCATACATGAGAATGAACCAAGCACTGTGTAACTTTAAATTTTAAGTAATTTCTGTTGTCATTAATAGAGAGTTGTCATATATCGAGATCATTAATAGAGAGTTGTCATATTTCAAGACAAAATTTCACTGACCCATAATTTTTCTAAATGAACACAAAAGATTATCTGGTTTATTGGGGGGGGGGGACGACAGCGCTTGATATTTAGCAGATAAATTATGATAGTTAAATTTTGTGTTTTGTCCCATATTTAAATAAAAGTTCTATTGTTCCAAGAACTGCCTGAAGTTGTTTTGGATTTTTTTTCAGGTATCCTATGCAGTCCACACTAAATTTCCACATATAACAACTCTGTCTATCCTAATTGGAGTTTACAAGGCCTATCCTATGCTAAAGGATTATATTGAGGTAACTATTTGAGGCTAATGGTAGGTAATTATTTCACAATTTTTTTAACACATGGAGTCTTTTTAAAAATTAATTTAAATTTTCCCCATGTCTTTCAAATTACTTGTGATTTTTATTTTTTTTTATTTCCTGGGGGCCTCGGAGCCTCTGAGAAGTGATCAGTTTGGGAACCACTGACTAAGACAAAAGGAAAAAAAAATGTTAAATAGAATCTACATGAACAATTTGAAAAAAATTTCCTTTCTTTTACATTTTCATAATTTATAAGACATGTAATGTTTATTGCTTTTATTATGGCTGAATTCAGTGGTTTATTTAGGTGAGCACCAAAAAAAAAACAACTAAGGTTTCTCTTTGTGGCAGTTAATCAGGGGCAATTATCTGTCTAATTCATAAGTCCAAAAATGTTGTTGTAATGTGAGCCAAAGGCAAACTAACTTAAGTGGACTGGTTGCCCAAATTGAGGGGCAATGGAGCCTATTTCCCATTGGGAATTTAAAGTCAAGTAAGCTATTAAGTTAATTAATGTTAGTTCCATTTCCACAAAATATGGAGAAATCTTTTTGACAACGTGCTAGTAGAAATGCATAGGTTCAAGCTTGTCATATGTATGACATGGCTATAAGAAATGCATAGGTGTAAGGTGGTATAACATAACTATAAGAAATCATAGGTGTAAGGTGGTATGACATAACTATAAGGAATGCATATGTGTAAGGTGGTATGACTATCTGTAAGAAATGCATAGGTGTAAGGTGGTATGACATAACTATAAGAAATACATAGGCGTACCGTGGTATGACAAATCTATTTATTTAACAAGTTTTCTCAATTATGTATCTAGTTTGAAAAGGAGAGACAATTTTTAAAGACTGGGGGTCAAAAAAGCCCATGAGATTAACAGTAAGAAGTGGTGGTATGGTGGTAATTTTTATAACATATTTACCTAACCGGTCAGTTATTATCTGATTATATAGTTTACATAAATATCAGGTGAACATGTACGATTTACCAATACATTGTACAGGTTTTTTACAGGTTATTAGGAATCTGTAAGGGTTTTCACTGGATTTAGAAGTTTGCACACGATATAGACCAAACACATATGGAGTCATAAATGGCAGTGCGATAAATTCATTGTTGATTAACGGGAAGCTGAAATCCTATTGGTCCGTTCAAAATTACCTTTGGCCCAAAGTCTGGGATTGGTAGTCCATCTAAATTTGGAAACTGAGATCATTCGTCAATAGTATTACAGTGTTGTTCTGTAGTAACTACTTTAAATAGTAAACAATAATTACATATAGCACCAATGGTGCAAAAAAATCTAATTTTGTAATTATTATTATTTAAAATCTTGTGAATTTTATCAACCCTGCTATATTATATGTTATTTATAACGACAATAGGCAGGACAGACGTAAGTGAGATAAATGATTTTGCAGAATGAGATTTAGAGTTTCAATTGTCCGTTTGAGAATAAAGGGTGTAAATCCAAGTCAATTTTTGATAGGGGGAAGAGCTATCAAACGTGCTAATGCACAAACTGTTCTAAAATAGCCTTAAATTGATATTTTGACTATATTAACGTTGTAAAATTCATTCTTAACTCAAAGGCCATAATTTTGCTGACCTCTTCTCAAATCCATTAAATTTTTTTTTTTTTACAATGTCAAACTATTTTATGAAAAAGGTGAAATTTTTTTTAAGATGAAGGGTAGACTATATGTCCTAATGAATTGGAATTTACGTCACTATCAAATTTTGGATTTTTACAAATTAAACTAGTCCTTAAAACAAAAATTTTGTGTGCACAGTTAAATTATACTTCTTAAAAAATAATTATCATTTTGAAACATTGGTAAATAAAAGCCTATTTTATCAACCTATCCCATTATTTTTACTGTTCACACCCCGAGAAGAAGGTTATAATGAGTTAAATGAATATTTTTCAAGCTGATTACGCATCTATTTTTATGCTTATTAATTGTTTTCATTATTGTATTTCCGATTTTGTTGCTTTGACTAATGCAATTGTTTTGTTTTTTTTCTTGAAAAATGACCAGGAGCGTAAGCTGTGTGCCTACCCATTTATAGAATACTATGACGGCAATTTGATTCACTTTTTTGCCCCTCTGTCGAAACAAGATGAGTTTTATGTCCCTGAATGTGACCAAGATGCCAGGGGAGACCAAGCAGCAGACTATGATTCAACGGTACTCAGTACCTCTCAGTCCAGTCTGGAGGACTCACAGCTCAGCCCAGACATCACACAGACATCTATTGAAGATGAGCCTGAAACTGAAATAAAAGCAGACCTGTCACCCATTGTGGAAAGGATCGTACCTGTCGGCGGTGATGAGAATGAAAATGGAAATAACAGTGTGGAAATCACTGATGAACAGAACGTGACAAAAGATGATGATCAGGAGTCAGAAGATTCTACATCTTCTTTTGAGCTTCTCAGACCTAATGAATAAAAAAAATTAGGTGTTAATTTTGTAACTCAAATTATTTCATAATGACTGATGATTCTTTGAAAAGATTTTAAAAAAATTAATTTTGTATTCAAACTTCATCAGATAACACTAAATTAATCTTGGACATTTATTTTTTATCTTGCATGGTCTTAAAAGGTTTTTTAAAACAATGCTTATTGACATGAAAAAAAAAAAAAATGTTAAAATGATCTTCTTAAAAGGACTTCACCCAATGGAAATAGAAGAAGCACTTGTTAAACTCTAACTGACATAAGTCTACATATAAATAATGAAGGTATTGTTCATGATGAACTCAGGCCTCATTATATTAGACATGTCATTTTTTTAACTTGGAAATAGTCCATAACACACTAAGATATTCAATGAACATAAAAGCTTAAAGACATAGCTTTTAATTTAAGAGAACAAAGTCTTAAAATGGTTTTCTAAAGAAGATTTGTCTGATTAGGTAATTGTTTTGCTATTATATTTTTCTCATTGATTTTATACTATCTCTTTACTTTAGTAAAGTTTAAATAAAGCGAAATATGAAAATAATATGTTTTCTACAGCAAACAATCATTTTGTTTTGTTAAATTTCCCTAGAAGCTGTTGAGTTTTTTTTATGACTTAATCTTTTGCTTCTCAAAAGTATTATTAACAAAACTAACTGTAAGCCCTTGTTAATTAATGTAAAAGTAAAAATGTCATGACCATTCAACTTGATTGGATACCTCTTCTTTAGATCTGATGGATTATTATAACCAGATATTATAAACAAATAGGAACTTGATTTCAAAGCCTTGAGAAAGATGGGATGAAGTCTTTCTTTACTCAGTTACAATGGCAACCGTTGTAGTACTCAAATTATTATTATTTTTTTGCAACTCTGGCTAAGTACCTTATATTTGATCTTATTTTCTCAAAGTTTGAGAGTTTAAAAGCTTGACCCCCCCCCCCTCCCCGTTTCCCTTTTAAACTTATTAAAACCGGTGCCAGTAAAATAATATTTTAACAAATGTAATGATTTTTAAGAAAGGAAAAGTCATATTGATAATCCTCATTTAAAACATATTTAAAAATTCTTCTATTATTGTTGCCATTTATGATGTGTATGACATAGACTTTTGACTTGGTCTTTCATGGTTGTACTCTGTATATGAATGTGTCATTGATTCAAGATCTACTTAACGCTGTACTTGGTAACGGTATATGAATGTATCAATGATTCATTAACTGCTTCTGCTTAAAGACTCTTTCTAAAGCAGCAGCCCTGTTACAACAAAAATGATGTTAAATATCAGAATTACGATCTAAATCCATAAGAATAAAATTGATGATAAAGTTATTAAACACAACAGAGTCCAATTTCTAAAGGTTCTTGAAATGACGGAGAATGGTTCTGTAAAAAAAAATCCAGTTGTTGGTACCCAGCACCAAGAAGAACTTATACAGTTTGAGTTTCTAAGATACCTCATTTTAAAAGTTGTGTAGTTACCATTAATCCAGACTTGGTGTAACTGTGCTTACTTCGAGAGCTAGTCTAAATGTACAAACTCACATATTTTCTTAATCGTCACTAGTTGTAGGTGTTTTTTTTTCTTCTGATTTTATTTTACCTGTAGTTCCCCATTGAAAAGTTAAATTCAAAGAGTTGTTGACTTATTTTGTGCTTTGAATTGACACTTCTATTTTAATTAAGAACATATTATTGCCACTGACATAGTTTGTTAACACAGACTTCAGTCACATTCACTTTCTGTGGAAGAGTTTTTTACTGCCAGCCATTCCATTTCAACAGCTTCGCTCACCATTGGTTTTATTTCATTATTTAATTTTGTTTGTCAATTAACACTTCTGTCATCGCAGCCAAAATAACTTTGTTTTTTTTCTTATATTAAATGTGATGGACCAAGTGATCATTGACTACTGAGCAAAGCTGCAGCATGTGTTCAGAAATTCTCATATATTCCCCTAATTAAGATACAAATAAATAAGTCACTTCTGTAATGTAATGTGTGTGTTACAATATTTAATATATAGCAATTTGGTGAAATTCCATCGCAAAATAGAATTCCTCTATTCCTTGCCATTTTCATGTTTTTTAATTATGCTATAGAAAAAAGTCCTGTTTAAAATACAACCAGAAGGAAGACGCGGGGGGGGGGCAATTTAACTTAGGGGCTTCTCGGTAGTGGTGTCACAGGCTTAACTGACCAATCATGAGGCAAAAATGTCCAATCCATGTATGTCTGTGTTTGTTACTTTGTGGTTTTGACATATCAATAACTTATCAATAATTATTTTCTTCTGTATACAATTCCCTTTGGATGGAATTTTGGACAAGTTCAACTCCTAAGAACAGAGATGTTCACCCGAAATGTGGTTAAGATAAATATGGCCGGTTTTAACCTGAACCATCTCACAAAATATATTTGTATCATTATGGCTGGTTCTTATCATTTCACCAGTGTATCGAGGCAACCTTCAGGGTACCGTGCTTTTCGTGTTTGTACAAACCTCTCCCTTTGTCCAAAATAGCTTCAAAGGTCAAGGTCTCAACCTTAAGATTTCTATTTTAATAAATAACTTTTAGAAATATAATTCATTAAGATATATCAAGGATTCAGAAACGATTTGTTTTATAATAATTTGACAAGCTTTCATTACATAAGATTTTTATTTTTGACCATTAAATAAAATTTACTTTTAATGCCCTCTACATCTCTGAGCCACATATAACTATTACATGTAGCTATGACATATAACTATCACTTATAACTATAATTGTTGATTTTATGAAATGCCTCTTGTTTTCCAGGAAGAGCACTTTTTAAAAAAAATATTTTTTTTTTATATTGATTTAGTTAAATTAAGCCTGGTGAGAAGAACATCTAAAGAATTTACTTAATTCAAATAAATTTGAAGCAGATAACAGGAAAGATGCAATCTTGCATTATTATTTGAACTGCTAACTTAAAGTTGAAAATATACCAAATCAAAAGCCTATGCTTAGTGAAAGGGCAAGAGAATTGTGTGAAAGAAATTTGTTTTGAGATTAATGTGTATAACACTGATGTTTGTAAAGGCAGTGAGTGTGTGTAGCATTGAGTGTGTGTAGCACTGGCCATTTAGTGTGTATGTGAGATCACACAAGTTCTACCTTGCTATGTTAAATTCTTTTTTTTTTATATTTTGCTTTAAACAAGTTTATTTGAAATTCATTTCAGTTTGTTCAGTTTGTTTTGATAATTTTTCATCAATTTATTATTAATATTTTTTTTTTTAATATCAAGGTAAGTCTTCACTGCCATGTTTTGTGGTCATTAAAGCTATATAAAGCTGTTGTGAATATCTTGGCGATTTGAGTTCAAGTTTATTGACTGTTTTAATGTGACTTTTAAAAAAAAAAAGTTCCTAAAGGATTGGGTAAAAAGGGAGGGGAGGGGTGGGGGTGAAAAGAGGCACATTCAATATGTCATGCCATCTTTCTTTTGTGCTTATTTATGTTTCAGGAAATTAATAACACTGTCACCTGGTAAAATATGGGAGGACATTTAACTTTTTTTCTGAACATATTTCTAAAGTTTTGCTATGCAATTTTGGCATACCCGGTACCAATGACATTATATGTTTAGAAAAGACACTGTAAACGTATATTAGAATTATAACCAATTACGTGCACGTGAGCCAATGGCACTAACTTTTTGCTGATCAAAGCTGTTGCTGTTCCTTGCACAAAGGATTTGCTATTAAACTCATCACTTGTTAATTGGGGAGCTTACTGTTCAAAGAGATTTCTATTTGTTCTGAACATGAACAGGGAAGCTAAATTAAGGATACATTATTCAAATGTGTTGTTTTTAATTTTTAAAAAGGGTAGATAAATATTGGTTGTTCAAGGGGGTTTTTAATTTTGTATTGTTACAAATGAAAATAGGGAGGGAGTTTCATCCCACTACATTAAATTATCATCAACACTAAAAGAGCTCTAGTCTTATATATATATTCCATATAGCAAATATTGATCTCATAGGATTGGTGACTAATTTTAGAAATGTACAAAACTTGGTACAGTCGACATATTTTGGATTTACCAGAGAAGATTATTATTTCTAATGTTAGACATACTGAAAACGAACAAGGACTGACTGAGCGAGGAATGACTGGAGAAGGACTGACTGAGCGAGGAATGACTGGAGAAGGACTGACTGAGCGAGGAATGACTGGAGAAGGACTGACTGAGAAAGGACTGAATGTAGAAGGACTCACAGAGCAAGGACTAACTAGACAAGGACTGTCTGAGCAAGGACTGACTGGACAATGACAGGATAAGGACTGGCTGAGGAAGGACTAACAGAGCAAGGCCTGACTGGACAAGGACTGGCTGGAGAAGGACTGACTGACAGAGCATGGCCTGACTGGACAAAGACTGCCAGAGCATGCCCTGACTCTTTCTTGAGAAGGACTGACAGAGCAAGGACTGAGTGAGCAAGTACTGGCTGAACAAGGACTGACTGGACAAGGACTGACTTAGCAAGGCTCGAAGAAAAGACAATACGTAACAGAGGCTTGATTAAAAGAATATACAATTGCAAAGAAAACTATTACCAAATCTAGTGATAGGCCTACTAACAAAATTTAATTATGCTATTAAATTTTTTACACAAATTCGAATACAGAAAAAAATGAAAGAAAAACAACTTAACTTACAGCAAGTGAAAAGGGTTCACTCCTCAAAAAGGCAAATATTAATTTACAGGCACACGATTACATAACGTCTGCTATACCAAAAATCTCTCCCTCTTTCCACTTCTTTCTGCTCTGTCTCGCTCTATCTCCGCTAAGAAACCTAGCTGCCTATATGTATAGGGATTAAATTAGTGCGATCTAGTAAAGGATTTCTGGAAATTACGTCACCTCGTGGCATTCTTTAGAACAAATGGAACGAATTCGAACGTTAACAACCTTTTCCCAACCAAAGGCGGGTAGGTAAGAGATGACACAACACATTTACTTGGTGATGTAAATATGAATGCTAAAAATAGTTATATGTTGACGTGAAAAAATAGACCAAAGACCTAGGCTTAGTATAGCAGTGACTAATAATACTTCTTTTTTGGTATTTAGTTATATTTTGAAGCAATGGAAAACAAACCCCTGCCCTCCACATAAGCCGACTCGTTCTGTTGTATCCCCAGCAATATAGAAATAGATCATTTGGAGCATTTGTTCTACACAACATGAATACAAAATCGAACTTCTTCAGAAACGCTAGTGTTGCTGTGGTACAATGTTCACTAAAGACAGGCGCAAATTTTCACTAAAGACAGGCGCGTCTAGTGGTTATCCCGCATAATACATCACAATTGACAGTGTGTGACAAGAGGCGTTTGCCACAAATTGGTAACGGTTCCCTATATTTTGACTTATTCTACTCCCGCTAATTCAAATCTTTAATTCTCAAGTCTCGTGTTGATAGGTAAAAATTAAAAAGAAAATCAATTTAAAAATGTATTGCGTTTTTTAGGAAAGAAAAAAAAGAAGAATGATTACCCACGAAAGAAATATTTTATTGAGGGTTTGACCACAATAAACGTTTAGGGTAGGCCCATGGCAATCAATAGCAGCGCCCGAGGGTAGTCAATTTAGGCGCCCTATGCCAAAAAAAAGTATATTTGGATACACATATTTTGTATAAAAATAACGAGTTTGGTGCCCTATTAAAAATGGCACCAGGGGCTGCCCCCCCCCCCCCCCCCACGAGGGTAGTAAATTTAGGCGCCCAATGCCAAAAAAAAGTATATTTGGATACACATATTTTGTATAAAAATAACGAGTTTGGGGCCCTATTAAAAATGGCACCAGGGGCTGCCCCCCCCCCCCTCCCTGTGCACGGCCATGGATATGAGTAGGCCTATAACCGTTGATATTGAACGGGTAACAGAAATAGGACCCAGAATGATCAATAAATTGATTGTGGGCCCTTATATTGAAGAAGAAACGTTTTAAAATTGCCTTTTACTTAAATTTTTATTTTTGTAAGACTTCAGTTGCATTTTTTAGAAGTAAAAACTGTATCCAATAATAGACTCCAGGTAAATGAAATCGCCCAAATACAAACACCAAGAGAAGGGGAAGGGGCTTCAATACGAGTCTCCAAAAAGAGGGGGGAGGGGGATAGAAACAGATAAAGAGAGCGAGAGAGAGGGAGACAGAAAGAGAAAGGTGAGGTTGACTAGAGGGAGAAAGAAAGAAGGGGGGGGGGCGAATAAATGGTTAACTTAGTCGACACTTTTCCCGGCTCTATCACAAAGTGTTTTTATCCTGAAGCAAAAAGAAGGATGTAAATATTGTAAAGGAGTACTTTACTGATTTTATGGATGTGTGGGTCTTATACTCCATTCTGCACGATCAATAAGACTTATTAAGGCTACACTTACATTTAGTGTGTAAGTGTAGCCTTCTTTCAAATAGGGGCCTATCTCTATTTGTTGCATCTCAGATCAAGAGAAACAGATCCGAGTTTAAACATTATTTAATGCTCTCAAAAACTAGGCAATGCTCAGTAGATAACAAATTATTTATTTATTAAAAGTACAAATTAAAGTAAGGATGTCACTATCATCACACAGATACACTTGTCTCACGATATTTAATGCAATAATTATTTGAAATATTATAATGGAGAGAGATCGACATCCATTTACAAGTGTATAAAATGCAATTTTTTTTTTCCATCGAACTCTATGGGTATCCCCAAAGTGAAGTATCATCCATTAAAGTAAAGCGTTTCTCAATTTATTGTTCATTTAAACTAAAAATTCTGCGCTGTATGCTTTTAAACGAGATTCAATTACATTTTTTAATTTTATTATTTGCCATAATATGCATGACTAATTCAAAAGATATGGCGTTTATGAAAACGCAAATGCTCACTGAAGTTACAAGAACATTCCCCCCCCCCACATCTTACCTCGTATTAAACAAAGTAAGAAAAGTTTGAGAAGCGCTGTTCTCTGACGTCAAAGTTACTACTGGTGATATGCCAATGAATGAATAATGTAGAACAAACCAATCAGAGTGAGGTCCCCTTAGTCACATGACACTTCCTGCTTTGCAAGAGGAAGAATAGGTCTGATCTAGCCTCATTTTCCCGACCTTCTCAAGGTAGGTAAATTTTTTGCATTTATTAACACTGTTATGTGGCTTGATAATATTCGACCGATACGAATGCATACTTTGAAACTTAAAACACATCATAGCTATGTTATTCAGAAGGAAAATAGAATGCCGGTAGCTTAAAATATTTTGCACCACCATTTTTTCCGCTTCTCCGTTAGTTCCGTGCATAGATTGGTTACCTGCCCTTGCTTTTTTTAAATTAGGAATTTTGTTGAAAAACAACCCAGTTATCTGATGTGCGGATGCATAATAGTTTGCTCAGGATAAGATAGTTCGGTAAATATTCAAATCATAACTTGAATTTAATAGTCACCACAGTAATATGCCTGGCCTGATATGTATCAGTATCAGTGGGGTCTACTTTTAACACGTTTTTGTATTTCTTAAAATTAAAATAGACTAAGACTTATTATGCAATAGACTAGACTAGTACTAGTATTAAGTATTAGTAAATAAGGCATATTTTATAACTCATAAATAATATAACCTAAGCTTATTCCAGTATTTAAGGCTAATGCACTATTACTATTGGCAATAGATTATTGATTGTAATTGTAGGCTAGCATTTGTAAAAGTTATTATTATTTAGCATGCCAAGACCATACTTGAAAATTTAGATTGAGAAATATCAATCACTCAAACTCAATAATCATGTAATGTTGTTGTGGCAATGTTGTGTACTATTAGTATTAGTAATAATAAATTGGGTATAAAATAAAATAAAAATCCATCCTCTAAAACTCTCAATGATAACAAAATAAATGCCCTAATTATAACTATAAGTAATCAGCTATTATTAGACCGAAGTGGTTATGCGCAGCCGACTGCATATAACCCTGAGAGTTGTACGCAGTCGGCAAGTCACGTGAGGTCTATATTTTTCCTGCGTTACAGTATCAATCAATAAGGGTGCCTCATTATCGGGGTGACTGGGTGGTCGAATGGTACAAACTGACCAAACCTCATGCTGATGGTTTTGAGTTCAATTCCAGCCAACGGCAAGCCATGAATACAGAATGAACCAAAAACAGCTATGATAATTTTTTTTGTTTTGGCTAAAAAATGTTAAAACATGATAAGAATTAACTTGACCAATGTAATGTTAATAATGTTATTCTTATAATTATCAAATATATG